AAAGAAAAGAAAAGAAAAGAAAAGAAAAGAAAAGAAAAGAAAAACCACAATGTTCTCAGACAGGAATTCTTCTGATAGAAATTACCTGAAGAATAGTTGTATCGGTTAGAAGCTGTATCTCTAGCAACTCTGACAAACTGCTGACAATGTCACAAACTTTGTTATACAACATCACTATAACTCTTTGTTTGTGGGTGGAACACTTAGCACGTTTTGCTTTTGAACTCAAAACACCACCTAGAAAATAAAAAATATTTTCATTAATTTTTTCAATGTTTCAGTTGTATCACATACTACTAGCAAGATTGTTTTCTCAAAAAATGTCACACAAATAATTCTACACGCAGCTTTTACAGGGAAAAAAAAGTATTTAGTAGTATCAGCTCAAAAGCAAGAATTTCATGACATTAATTTTTCATAATTCTTCTGAAACCTGAATCCAAGATTTTTTAAACAGTTCTTGAAGTTGGACACTCACATCTGAAGATATAACAGAATCATAGGGGTTGGAAGGGACCTCAAGAGATCATCAAGTCCAACTCCCCTGCTAAAGCAGGTACCCTACAATAGGTCGCGCAGGTAGGCATCCAGAAGGGTCTGGAATATCTCCATAGGAGGAGACTCCACAACCTCTCTGGGCAACCTGTTCCACTGCTCCGTCAACCTTACCGTATAGAAGTTCTTCTGCATGTTAGTATGGAACTTCCTATGTTCAAGTTTTAGGCCATTACTCCTTGTCTTATCGCTATACAGCACCAAGAAGAGTCTGGCCTCATCCATTTGCATCCCACTTCCCTTTAGATATTTATATACATTTATCAGATCCCTGATGTATGTACATAATCACAAAACACTAAATGCAAAATAATTTTCACCACTATAAGTCATTATAGAAACAGATTATGAGTATCAAATGGCTTATTTATACATATAATAGCTGTACACAGAAGACAAACTTCAGACAAACTTCTAAATACTTTGCTCTAAATGATTATATTGACACTACAGTTATTTCAGTATACCTAAACATTAATATGACTAAGTTATTCAGAGGACACATTTAATTCATTGTTATCTTACTCTACATTTCATCATTCTCAATATAACAAAAAGCATTAATTCAGATACTGTATTTGATACGAAAGAATTATCAGTATAAAAGTTGCATATAAAAATCTTCAGGGAAGTCATATCACTTGCATCATCATACGATATATTAAAATAATAGTTTTAAAAGGCAAAACAATATAACGTAATTTTTTTTTTTAAAATCTCCTGTAATACTAACCACCATGAGGATCCACTCTATATACAGGGTCATACTGAGGATAGAGAGTGTTCTGCAAATGAAATTTTGTATACTGAATAACTCTTTCAATTACATCCTCAATATATACAGCTTTAGGCATGTTTGGTGATGTCATAATATTGATAGCAGTAAGACAAGCATCAGCAGATTTTGTCACTCTCTCCATAATAAGATCTCTCCATAATCTCTCTTCATCTTCAGTGTCATTGTTCTGTAACAGGCAAGAAAAATGGGACAGTGTAAACAAAAAGTCAAATTCTTATCCTAACCAAGTACAATATAATGATGACAATTTAGTATACTTGCATACAAGCACATTCCTTTATGATACAAAAATAGTTTTATTGATTTACTAATGTTTGTTTTACTAGCAACATGTTTGCAGTATGTCTCCCTAAGCTGCAAGTCTTTTATTTCTCACTATATTGTTCTGGTAAAACACAAAGAAGCTTTCTATATATCATTGGGAAGCACTATGAAAGAAAACTGCTACATTGAGGTTCAACAAGACCAAGTGCCGGGTCCTGCACTTTGGCCACACCAACCCCAGGCAAAGCTACAGGCTTGGGGCAGAGTGGCTGGAAGACTGTGTAGAGGAAATGGACTTGGGGGTGTTGATTGACGCTCAGATGAACATGAGTCAGCAGTGTGCCCAGGTGGCCAGGAAGGCCAATGGCATCCTGGATTCTATCAGCAATAGTGCAGCCAGCAGGAGCAGGAGGTGATCATCCCTCTGTAATCAGCACTGGTGAGACCACACCTTGAGTACTATGTTTAGTGCTGGGGCCCCTCACTTCATGAGGCTCTGGAGCGTGTCCATAGAAGGGCAACAGAACTGGTGAGGGGTCTGGAGCACAGGCCTTATGAGGAATGGCTGAAGGAGCTGGGATTGTTCAGCCTGGAGAAGAGGAGGCTCAGGGGAGACCTCATTGCTCTCTGTAACTACCTGAAGGGAGGCTGTAGTGAGCTGGGGGTCGGCCTCTTCTCTCATGTAACTTGTGATAGGACTAGAGGGAATGGCCTCAAGTTGCACCAGGGGAGATTCAGGTTGGATGTTAGGAAATACTACTTTTCTTAAAGAGTGGTCAGGTGCTGGAATAGGCTGCCCAGGGAGGTGTTCAAGGAACATTTAGATGTTGTACTGAGGGATATGGTTAAGTGAGAACTATTGATGATAGGTGGATGGTTGGACTGAATGATCTTGTAGGTCTTTTCCAACCTTGGTTATTTTATGATTCTGTGATTCTCTACTTAAAACTGATGTACCTTAAGAAAAACTGAACTCATTCATCTAGTGTTTTACTTAGTTGTCTATGCACACAATTTGCTGCTTTGACCTGTCTAACTTTCAACACTAGAGGGAATTCTCACACAATAAGATTGTTACAAGTCACATGAAATTCATGAGAATAAGACCTTCTCCACAGCCAACTCATCTACTATCAATGAGTTAAAACTGTCTTATAAAATACATCCATTTATTTTTAGCGTGAGGTACAGAATTTCTATTCTTCTGTTTGAACAAGTTATAAAAACAAACTGGAGTAATTACGAACACCCAGCATTACTGAAATAGTTTTTAACATTACCAATAGCAAAACCAGGGAGAATTTCCAATAATGTTTCCAGTACAAGATATAGCCATACTCAATGACTACAAAGAAAAAGAATCTTTCCTGCCTGTATGACAGCACAGTTTAACACTGTTGGTTTTCCTTGTAAAAATAAGGAGTTGGTGAAACACTAATGTCTAACTGTACCAACTTTTTTCCTTTAGGGTGAGACAATCTGAAAGTATTGCAGCATATTACAAATACATTTGTCACGGTTTTATGATTTTTGTTATCGGTATTCCACATCATAACATCATGTAGTGCACTGGGAGTTAATGCTCCAGTTCTGTGGACTGTCAATATTTCCAGAGTACATTTCACAGAAGAGAACTACATCTCCCAGAAGACAACTTCACTGTTCTGTTTTCCATTCAAAAGAAAAGATAGAACTGCTCATGAGTCACAAGATTGCCCCTTTTTTACTGCTCATCTCTGTGATGCTCCCTAGCTGTCTCACCTTCAACATTAGAGTAAGGCACTCGTTTTTGGACGCTCTCTCAATTTATTTGATTTACTAGCTTCAATTCCAATTATATTGTGTTATCTTACATTCCATTATTATATTTAGTCGATTAGTTTTCTCCCTTAGCTCACTGCTGCAGTTTTGTTTTTAGGCCCATCCTTTTCCCTACCCTATCTCAGGGCATAGGTCTGTGGGCTCCCCCATCCCATTTAGTCACGGAACTGGGCTGGAACTGTTGACAATGGTAAATATATTTAAAAATTAAAAATAAAAATAATAATCAGTAGACACCTGAAAATCCCTGTAAATCTTTTGCATGGAATAACTAAGTCATACGTTCCTTGCACAAAGGAGGCTTAAAAAAACCCCACAAACAAGTAGTTTTAAATCCTAATTTTTTTGCTCACGAATTTTGTGAATAAAAACTATCTGCAAGTGCATTTTGCCTTTTAATAATATCCTGACGTGGAAACAGGATTATCTTCACTGCACTGTAAAATACCATAAGATTACTGCTTAGTATCTGGGTGTCCAGCCTTATAGCTTGACTAGGCTGCATCAAGCGAAGAAGAATTGCCTTTGGCCACATACAAAACATATAATATTTTATATGTATTAACCCTATCACAACTATAAAGCTAGGCTTAAACAAGAATGCTTTGGAATTAAAAATAATTTTGAAATATACATTCATTCTAACATATTGAAATATATACATTTTTTCCTTGTACTTTACTATTATCTGCTTTAGTTTTTATCAGAAAACATAAAGTGGCCACTAAATACACAATTCAGTAAATGCTCAAATTCTTAGAAAAAATGAATAAATGTAGTTATAATGTGCATCCTCCGTAAACTTGCCTTTAGCATGGTTGGATTAGCAAACTGACATGTGCTTGTTTAGGCAATTATTACTTGCATATTGCCCCCAAGTCAGAATAGCAGAAACACTAAACAAATACATATCACCCAAGCATATTAAAAACATATCATAAATTATTTTATACTTTTTGCAAGCTTTTTGAAACATTGAAAATTACCAAATTTGTCAGCACTACACAAGCATTCCTGGTATTTCCTCCACAGAAATTTAACTTATTAATTATTTTACAAAATAATATAAGCCCAAGTTTAATAGTTAAATAAGAAAACTTATGTTTGCTTAATAACAAAAACATGACTCTTCACAAGCACGCTGTATGAGAACTGCTGAGTCAGGGCCTGAACCTCTGATTGATCACCTGAGGCAAGCCAGAATCAGCCAGAGGAGCACAGGTGAAGGCAATTCACCTGTGCTGCTGGAAGGGGTGGAACCTGGCTCCACCCCTCCTAGACCTATTTAAGGGCTGGCTACCAACAGGGAAGAATCTTGTTTAGAGATCTGCTCTGTGGGGGTTTTGTGAGTGAGCCTAGAATGGGGTAAGCCTTCAATTTATTCTCATTTGTTATTATAATCTGCTTTGCCTTACTCTCTTGTTTGTTTTGTGGTTATAACATCCTAATATTCTTTGATTATGCACGTGGGGTAGTCACTGTTGTGCTAAGTGGCACAAGTGCATGTAATGTGAAATACACATGGGTTTTATTAAACTGAGTGTATGTAGCAGGCACAAGAAATAGAGTCAGCGCTGTGTTATACTCTTTTCTCCATGGTGTTCTGTTGTCACCTATGTAGTTCATGCTTGAGCTGTGCAAAATGAACTCATGAAAAATAGCACAAAAAAATAGTATAGTAGTGTTAAGAGTTTATAATCTTGCGGGGTCCCATTACAAGCTGTAAAGGGCTATATGTAGCTCACAGGCTGTGGGTTGGATATGCCTGACTTATTGGAAGGCTTCTTCACCATAATGATGTGAACTATATTCAATACATTTTAAGAAAAACCTGGAACTTTTTTTAGCTAAGGATTGCTTCTCTTTTAACTGAAGCTTTATCTCTGAATTGCAATTGTGGAACAATTTCATCAGGTAATCTTGAGTTTTACTACACAAACCTAAAAGAAAAAATCACTTCAAAGCACTGGCAGAAAGTCTCAATCATTGCAACAGAGCAGGAAAACCTGCATTTTTTTTTTTACGTGTTTTCATATTGCTTAAGACATTAGTAACTGTATAGCGAAGCTTAATTTTTAGGTAGTCCTGTGAGGAGTTGGACTTGATGATTCTTGTGGGTCCCTTCAAACATGAGACATTCTATGATTTAAAATGTATTATCAGTGCTCAGAGGAGGAATACACTCTCTACATGAAAGCCATGCTTTCTTCCCCTGTGTAAAGGAAGTTTTATGGACAAGCAGGAAAGATAATTCCACTGGTGCAAGTAATATCAGTTATCGTGACTATTTCAGGATGAAACTATTATATTTAAAATTAAGTCAAGAAACAACTCAATTGCTCCCATTTGTTAGCAGTAGTATAGTAAAATATGTAGTGCTGAAAAAATAAAATTTTTATTTTAAATCTGAACTTGATCATCTGTTAATCATACATGTATAAAATCAAATTCCTTCTGCACATGCACAGTATTTATAATTACCACCAAATGTGACTCAGGTGAAGAAAGTCTTATGCTGGAAAATGGCGTGAAATGATGTAACTTGAAACTCACATGGTTAAGTAATGTAGAAAGCTTTGATCCATCTTGGATATTCTTCTCCAAAATATTCAGGACCTTTACTGTTTTATCTGTTGAGAGCTAAGACAAGAAAAACACATCAGGCAACTATAGGAACTTAGTTTTTCAAACTGCTGAAAAAATGTCCATGGACAAAGGACAGACCATGTTATGTAATTCTAGTATTAAACTTAATTTATAAGGTGTATGGGAACTGCTGAGTCATGGCCTGAACCTCTGTTTGATCACCTGAGGTGAGCCATGAGTCAGCCAGAGGAGCACAGGTGAAGGCGATTTACCTGTGCTGCTGGAAGGGGGGGGAGCCTGGCTGCACCCCTCCTGGACCAATTTAAGAGCTGGCTACCAGTGGGGAAGGATCTCTTCTGGAGATCAGCCCTGCTGGAGTTTGAGTGAGCCCAGGATAGGGGTAAGCTTTCTATCTATTCTCTTTGGTTATCATAGTCTGCTTTGCCTAACTCTTGTTTATTTTGTGATTATAACAACCTAATATTCATGGATTATACATAAGCACTTTTGAAATAAGGATAAGATATTGACTTACTAGTTCCTGGAACAGTATGACTGAGAATGCTGATAATATAATTAGACTAGTGAAATATATGTTTTAAGATTGCAATCAAACTGCATTTTCAACCAGTAAGATGCATGCTAAAAGTTTTGAAACTGCATATCTAGAAATTTTCTATGGAGTCTTGATTCTGGAAACTGAAGTTTACCAAATACAAGTATGAATCACTAATTCTAGATGACAATATGGAGCTTTATTAAAAGAAAATCTAAACCTTATAGCTGAGCAGAAATAAAATTCCTTGGTATTTCAGTGCTAATACAGAGAAAATGTATTCTTAATAATTTTATTAACTTTGAAAAAAGTAGCGTGTTGAAAAGTAAATCAAATTTGCTTAATGATGTTTTACAGAATTACAATTAAATAATCTGTAGAATATGTTGAACTGCGGAAGAACCAACTTCACTCACCCAGGTAATAATGGTGTTCACCTTTAGAAACAACACATTTCTGACATCATGTGTACATGTATGCACATATGTATAAAAATTATGAAATAAAATTTAAGTGTGGAAGCTATCAGGAAAGCAAAATGTTGAAAGCATCCTACAAATGAAGGTAGGAAAGACTGAAGGAGAGACCAGGATAAATAACTAAATCTTGAGTTAAAGAAAAACCAGAATGACTTCTGTAATAAGTCATTTCACGGAGACTTCATAAACAGAATAGAGTGGTTAGGAACAGGCACAGTGTAACATGAGAGTACCTAAAGCAAAGAGTTCCAGGAAAACAAGACTATAGGAACCATCAGGTCACAGCCTGAACCAGTGATTAAACACCTGGTGAAAGGATGTAACCAACCCTGGAAATATAGGTACAAGCAATTTACCTGTGCAACCAGAAGGGGTGGAGCCCAGCCCCACCCCTCTTGAATTTCTAATTTGCTGCGGAGACTTGCTGCTGAGCAGGTAAGTCTGTGCAGGCAAGGAATTGGAGTAAGAAAAGGCCAACCAAAAAGCTCTTTTTAAGGCTTTTTTAGGACTTTTTTTGAGGCTAACATCAGCACTGTGCTTGAGCTGGCAGCTTGTGGGCGGGCTCCTGAGTCACCAGGGGTGGAGCTGGCACATTAGTGGCATGGTTTAAACACCCACCCACGCCTTCACACCTGATAATAAGCCTAAAATAGCTCCTGGGAGGGGGGAAGCTAGTTTCCCCCCACGAGTTACATCAGGTGAGGAAACCATTGTTTCTGTTCTTTGGGAAAGGGGAGGTCCCTCCTTGCTCAGGAGACTGGATTTCCTTGACAGTCTGAGACCACAGACTGAAACATGGTCTCCACTAGACAGCGGGCTCACTCCAAGAAGGCTTGCAACCCAGACTGAAACCTTAGTAAGAAATGTTGCTGTTTAGGCTTCTGGCTGCAGGGAGTGCCTGAGCCTACTTCTGCCTGGGGAGAGTGGCAGGGACTTAACCTGTGCAAGGTGTGAGCAGGTGGATGAGCTTCTCAGCCTGGTGGTGGAGCTCAAGGATGAGGTGCAGAGACTTAGGACCATCAGGGAGTGTGAGTGGGATATCAACTGGTGGAGTGACTCACTGGATTACCTGAGGGAGGGGCTCCAGGAAAAAAGAAAACCCAGACAGGTGGTGGACCCCCCCCTACCCTGTCACAGTCAGACAGACCTCGCTGATGAGGAAGGTTGGAAGAGAGTCCCGACTCTGTGTCACAGGAGACACCCCCACCTGCCTAGCCTGCCTCGACAACTCCCTCTAAGTAACAGGTTCCAGATGCTGGAAGTTGAAGAGGAAGTGACTGGAGAGGTGATGCAGGATCAGCCTAGGAGAGAGCCCAGGGTGAGGCGGTCACCCCCACACCTTGAGACTGCCTCTGATAGTAGAGAAAGAAGGGTGGTTGTGGTGGGTGACTCCCTTCTCAGAGGAATGGAGGGCTCCATATGCAGACCTGACCTGGGCCATCGGGAAGCGTGCTGCCTTCTTGGGGCTTGGGTCAGGGACATAACCAGGCAACTCCCAAAGCTGGTTAGGCCAACTGACTGTTTTCTGCTACTCGTAGTTCAGGTGGGCAGTGATGAAATCACTCAGACAAGCCTACGCACAATGAAAAAAGATTTCGGGAGTTTAGGGCGTTTAGTCCATGGAGCGGGAGCTCAAGTGATCTGCTTTATACCTTCAGGGCCAATGAGGAACTCTGAGCAGGAAAGAAAAGCACAAGTGATGAATAATTAATTGGCTTGGAGGCTGGTGTTGAGCCAGGAACTTTGGGTTCTTTGATCATGGGGCAGTTTATTCAGCCCCTGGCCTGCTGTCTGCTTGTGGAACCCACGTATCTTGAAGGGGGCTGTCATGGTTCTATGGTTTTTTTTTTTTTTTTTTTTT